GGCCGCCGACGTGCGCGCCCGCCGTGGACGCGGCGCGCGGGTCCCGGACGCCGGCCGCGCCGCCGGCCGCGGCCTCGCGCGCGGCCGGCACCGCGGCGAAGAGGCGGCACCGCCGGCCCACGCGGCCCCGCGGCTTCCGCGCGTCGGCCCGCGCGCCGAAGACGTCGGCCTCGTCCCAGGCCTGGGCAGGACAAGAGAGCGAAATTCCCAACTTCAAAGGCTCCTATCTCGGCCGATTTCCACTCGTTTCGGCTGATTTTTGGACGAGCGATCATCTCTCGGAACGGTCTCGAAGCGTGGATGCTTTTTCCAGAACGCGCGCGCGCGGAACACTCACGTTGAAGCGACGTTGAATCACTCTTGTCCTGCCCTGTCCCAGGCGCGGCACGCGGGCCGCGCGGCGCAGCGCGCGGCGCAGGGCTGGGGCGCGCCGTCGTGCACGGCGTCGCCGGCCCAGTCCAGGGCGTCGCCGCCCGCCCAGACCTCGCCCGCGAACGTCGCCTCCGAGAAGGGGACCGGGTCGCCGCGTCCGAACTGCTCCGCGTGGACAATTTCGACCTACGCGTCGTCGTCTTCCAAACCACAAAGCCTTCCACGCGGGTCTCGACGGTCGCGTTCGCCGGCGCGCCGGCGAACGTCGCCGTCCAGCCGCAGGCGCCGTCGTAGGCGACCGCGCCGGCGACGCGCGCGGTCTCCGACGCGACCGTCGCGGCGAGGCCGACGCCGCCGCACGCGGCCGGAGCCGGCGGCCGATCCGCGGCGAGCGCGCAGGCCCGGACGGCGACCGCGACGCCGCGCGGTGATGCGACGGCGTCGCCGGCGACGAGCGCGAAGCCGTACGTCGCGGCGAGGAACGGCAGGGACACGGGCTCGGAGCATTGCTGGGGGCCGATGCCCGTCGGCCGCGACAGCGCGGCGTCGACCATGGCCGCGACGGTCTCCGGTGGCGGGCAGTCGGCTGCCGTTGCGGCAGCGAGCAGCAGCGCGGCCGTAGCCCGCCACATTTGAGGGCAGCCCGCCTCACAATCATTACGCGCGACGCGCAAAGTTTGCACGACCCTTCAATGAGCCGAAGATGCCGCATAGCAGTCCTGAAGTCAGCGAAGGACATCAGCTGCCAAACCGAGCCAGGTCGCCATCGGTGTCCGTTTCCGCGGCCGCGCGCCGTGATCCCGAGTTGGTGCGCGTGCGCGACATGCACGCCGCGCGCCGCTGGGATCGCGTCGACGCCGCGGGCCATTTTTTTTCCGCGAAGCGAGCCGCGCAAACCGCTCACTTTGAACCCCGTCGCAGCCACCCGCTCCGCCACAACCTACACCATGTCCGCCA